CCCCGCCCCCTGCGCGCGTACCGGCGTGGCTCTTCCTCTCGTAGGAGTGCGAGTGCGCGGGCACGCCGCGGTAGAAGGCCGAGTGCTGGTCGTCCGCCTGCAGCGCCGCCGGCGGCGACTCCAGCGCCACCTGCTTGGTGAGCTTGCGCGGGCTGACGCCGCGGCTGCCGGGCGCGTCGGGCAGCGCGACGCAGCGGCCCTGCGTAGGCAGCACCAGCGGCCCCGGCCCCGGGCCCGGCCACGCCCCCGCGCACGGCCGCTCGCCCTGCAAACCGACGCACGCGCATCGCGTCGCCTCGCACCGCACCGCACCGCTGCTTAGGCGAGGGCTTGGCCCGCCAGCGCGCTATTACATTGTCCTTTAACGTATCGTTCGTACACATAGTGGATACATACACGGTACATGCGTACATGCACCCACATACACACACATACACTCACATACACCACACATACACACACATAAACACATAAACACACACATACACACATAAACACATACACACACATAAACACATGTACACAAATAAAAACACACACATGTACACCTACATCTACCCACACATACACACATTCACACATGCACACACATACACACACATACAGTTGTCTCGTACTTATACAATATACGTACATACGGGATGACAGAATAAATGATGAACTTCTAGAGCTTGTAAGGCGTCGATCAATAATACGTTTTGCCATTGAGCATTTCATGGGAAATTTCATCTAGCATTAGTCCCTAATTGGTAGACAACTCACTTTGCACTGATGTTTGGCAGCTAATCTCTTTAATTTTGTCAGAACGTGTACCTGCCAAAAACCAGTACACGATGAGATGTGTACCAATCAGAGGCAATGTATTAATGTGAGACTATTCATGGTATGTTTCTTTGCGATTAAAGATATTATTTTCGACCTCCTGCATTCTCCAGAAGTAATATTCATTCTACAATACGTCATTCAACTACCTCAACAACAAAATTGGAAAGAAAAATGCATATTAGTAGCAAAGAGAAGAAATTATCCACTTTAGAGTTCTAGATTAATATTCTAAACTATTTCAATTTTGTTGGGTTTGTATGGTAAGTTTATATGGTAAAAGAAACTAATATCGTTTGTCTATTGAAAACACGTACATTCATATGTTATTGA